TCCAACAATGTATCCAGTTCTCTTCATAGACCAAGGGCTACTTTATTAAATCGGCTTAAAACAACAGCAGGCTGCCACAGAGTTACATCAGTACAGTCGTAGCGCACTGGTCACATCCTGAAAAATAGGTTTATGTGAATCCACAACGGCAGACTTGAGCGCGCCAAAAACTCCACACGTTTAGAGACTGACTATTTTTCCCTAGTGCTCGATCAGCAGTACACCTATGAAACGCAGAGCTCTGTCATCACAGCGATGGCATCTGGTTGCGCACTTGTGGCATTTGCTGACCCATCTATTCAGGCTGTAAATCCCTAACCGGGAATCATTTGTTGAAATTATGAACAGAAATATTGTAATTAGTCTAACTTTGTTGGACATAAATGTATTTTATCTTTCTCAACTGACATGTTCAAGGACACGTGGTTGCATAATTGCCTTCTGCTTGGTAAAACCATAAACCAAAAGAAAACAAACATTCCTTCCAACCTTTGCACGGAGTGTGATTCTTAGAGCACGCAGACGGTAAAACGCAACACTGATTTATTATCCAGGGTGCAATGGATGTTTAGTTGGCTTACTTTTTGTTGTAGTTGTAAGAAATGCGCTCCAAGGCAATTGATGAATCATTGCAGAGACAGTAACAGAGATAGGGAGGAGCTGTGCTCTGATCTGAAATCTGTGTGGTTAGTATGTAAGAGCTCTCAGTGTTATCATTTCTCCTTGGCACTTAACATGCTTCACCTACTACAAAAAGTAAGCAAAGGTCAATCCAGGTTAAGCACTTACGTACAAAATGTCTTTAAAGAATCCAAAGTAGGCATTCTCTGATTTGATCGAGTATTTAAAAAAACATAATCGTCATCATTTAACTGTTGCTATTTGTTTTTATGAGATTTGAAATGATAGTGCATTCAAAAGAAACATCTTTTGTTTATGTTATCTGAGGTTGGCATGAGTTCAAGGCATTTTTCTGAGGATGGAGGTGGAGATGGATGACTGCACATGTGGTGCTTTGTTAGTCTGCTGTTCTCTGCAGCACCTCAGGCACCGTCAGGACTATCATTTAGCCCTATAAAACGAGATAAAATGGTAAACTAGAGCCGCCGCTTATCTCACCAGAGGCCTGTACTACGAAGCCGGATTTTCGCTTAGCGAACTAACTTCAGGGTGAACTCTGGGTTTCCGGTCCTACGACGCTGGTTCTCTTCTTATCGGGCTAGATCTCCATGTTAACTTATGCTGAACGGCTAACCTGCTGGTTCCAGGATAAGAGATCAACTCAGTGAAAGCACCGCCTGCTGACCAATCAGAGCTCAGTGTGCGGAGCTTAAAGCTATCAAGTCATATTACAAGAGAAAGGAAATACAGTTTAAACTGCCGTTGCAGGAAAGACGGCCGGCAAAAATCAACTGACTGTGTAAACGTGAACATTAATAGAATATTACCTCCCATCTTCAGAGCAATCTGACTATTATAACATTAGCGTTAAGAAAGCTTAATTAAATATCTGCCACAACATAAGTAACCGGATCAAAGTAACATTAAGTACAGTCCGCCGCACTGTGAGTGCAGACGTCGATGTGTCCCTTTATCATTCATATCACATCATAATTGATCATATATTTCCTTATCTGAGTCAGCTGAGCCGTATCTGGCCGTGCAACACCCACAGTTTCACATACTGTATGCAGAAGTATTATTTTAAGCAACACATTAAGTTGACGAAACACTCGAGTCAAATTTAATTAAAGTCAGATCGTGTGTTAGACTTTAATTATAGTTGACTTTTCATTCAGGAAGTATGACGCTGCGCTTTCAGTACGCTTCTCCATGTTTGTGATTGGTCAAATGTTGCTAACCCCGCCCCTTTCATGTGAACGTGCACTCAGCTGGACAGAGAAACCCTGGCTTGAATTACCAAGTTGATAACCAGCGTCGTAGGACCGCTTAGCGAGAGCGTGTTTGTTTTGGGTTAGTTAAGCCAGATAACTCAAACATATCCAGGGTCTGTTGAACTGGATTCGTAGTACAGGCCTCTGGTAGAGAAACATGAGAAGCAGATTCAGCCTGTGGACGCTTTATGTGATTCTTCCCCTTTCAATTCTGTTTCTCTAATAAAGGCTAAAGTTGCCCAAAAATAGTCAAAAGAAAATAGGAGCCACAAGATGTTCTATTCACATGGCAAACGGATGAGATTGTTAAAGTAGAAACTAACCTGAAGTGGATTCCGAGATATTCAGCCTATCTTGAGTTTATACTTAAATGATTTACATTAAGAAATAAATAAGAGCCTGATAATATGTTGTAGTTATAGCTGTAATATTGACAGAAATGTATATAGTTTTAATAATCAGAAAAATCAAAAAAATATAAATACCATATATTTTATTTACTGTATTTCTAAAACCCTGCATAACAAGGTCTGCTCATCTGTTGTTCTGTTCCTCATGAGCAGCAGCAAGGTAAACAGTGGAGTCTGCTGGACAAACTCAGTAATGATCGCACTTGAAAGTATTACAAGCTTAATATATATAGATATATATATATATGTATATATATAATATAATTAATATCAACGTCCATACACAAATGTCAGTATTATAATGACACGTTATGTAATGAGAATATACATTTAAAGTTACAATGTTCCGCGCTAATCAAACAACAAACTTCTCAACCCCCAAATTACACGAAACTACCTTCAACACACGCATATTGCTTAATCTTTAAAACATTCTGATCTGTATATTTTCTGTTTCATTTTATTTGTTGGTACGGGATTATTATTATTATTCCGGCCTACATACTTGACTTTGTTAAATTCTTACCTTGTGACTTGAAATATTATTTTGTATAGCTTTTGAAACCTATTTATCATAAAGTCTGTTATTATTTTGTCATACAATTTGAGGTTCTTTGAGAGAACATTTTAGATATGGTTATTTATTTATTTTAAAAGCTTGGCCCCCCCATCCACCCCCAAACTAACATTTGATCTTGTACCAGGTTGCCACTCGTTTTAAAGTGATGCTGTAACGTAAAGATTTGTTCGCCTTGCACAATGAGATGAAATCATTCCAAATATTTGTTTGTATCCTTTGTTAAGTCAATATCTATCGCCATATCAGGTAGCACTATTGTGATAAAAGCATTTATTGAAAATAGATCTCCTTACTGAGGTCATGCAGAATCAGGGCTAAAATATATATTCAAGTATGTTACAGTGTGTGATTGTGTACAAGGGTGATGAATCAGCAGAATTTTGGGAACAGGGTTTTCTGACAAATGAATGATCATCATGTGATTAAAGTGTGCCAGAGTGAATCAGTGATGGTGTATTTTTGTAGGCCGCCGAACCAAAAGTTAGCAACGTAAGGGCTCCCTCGAACAAAAGCAATGAGATTACTATTGATTTAGTTGTAGAGCAGGAAACAAGATGTTTTCTCCAGCAGGATAATCTCCACATAGTGATACCTCTTATATGAATTTGGAGGCATTTATTAAATTGCTAGTACAAATCTTAAGGCTATAAACAAAAAACATCACAGTCGCATATCTGCGCACCACCATGGCTGAGCTGAAGGCAGCTAATGTTCAGTGTGACAACTTGTTAGCAGTGGCGTTTTTACATGTATAAAAGTGGTGGGGCACGAACAACTTAGACGTATATATATAAGCTTCTGGTACTTTTTTAAACACGTAAACGAATAGCTGTAGGCTATCCATGGTTCCGATAGAGAGAGGGGGGAGGGGGCTGCACACGTACTTACAGCCAATCAGCTCTCTGAATTATGAGATGACGTTTGGTGGGTATGGCAGCACAAGTGCCCCTATGGTGATAATTATTTTGCTGCACACATTGAATAGAAAAATACTCTGAGCATGCGCAGTGTAGTTTTTACAGTACACGTTCATTTCTACAGCAGAGAGAGGGGCTTGCCCCACATCGCTCAACACGGCTCAATAGGCACACTGTGGACACTAATCAGAAGAAAGCAGACTAAAACTGCAATGTACAGACGAATCAGATGACCAAACATCATCTTAAAATATATTTGAACATATATTCTTTTTGCATATTTTGGGAATTATTATTTGCATTACTTTCTGCTGACACTAGGTGGGGCTGTGCCGAGTCGAGACCGCTTGTTAGCAACCGCTTCTTTTAAAAGGTCCCATGTCACGCTTTTCCGGTTATTACCTGTCCCCTTGTGTGTTATGAAGATTTTTCTGCTTGTAAACGGTCTGCAGAGTCACAAACCCTCAAAGTACACCCTGTAGGGAGTAAAAGTCTAACACAGAAAAGACCTGTCTAGGCTGCTCCAGAACGCCTCGTTGGACATTTCTCTTTGTCCATTTCTCTTTGTCCATTTCTCTTTGTCCATTGTTTACTTCTTGGTTATAGTGACGTATTTCGGGTATAGTGACGTCCGCGGAGCCGTTTCGTTTGGACCAATCCGCAGACTTCCTCACACACACACATACTCGGCGGGACGTTGCGAGGCTCGCTGCTGCGAGGGGCGGACACTGTGAGCTGGCTTACTGGTGTGGGGTCGGCGAGACAGCGAGACAGTGCGGAACTCAGCCTGGGCACACACACAAAATACCAGCCAGGTTGCGGGTGTGTGTGTGTTTCGGGCTGGGTTTCGCTGTGTCTCGCTGTCTCGCAGACGGCCATTGGGCTAACAGGGAGGGACGGGGGGCAGGAGCTCCAACAAGCCGTTTAGGACAGAGAGTGAATACACATACTATACAGAGATGCTGTATGAGAAACCAATGTGAGTTTGGAAAATTGCACAATGTAAATCTATTCTAGTAGACCTCAACAATGGAATTATGCAGTAGAAATGGCCATGACATGGGACCTTTAAGAAACATGGAAGCTTCAGACATTCACCAGTGGGGTATTTACTGACTCATTTGTAGAACAAAACATTACAATCTCTTCAGCTTGTGTTAGCCACAGATCTTATTTTAGGCATCTATACAAAAAGAGGTACAAAAAAACACTTTACTACAAGACGAGGGAACCGAAAGTAGTAAAATACTTTCTCATTTCCAGGTTTTAGGACTCATTCCTTCATAACTCTATAGTGAGGAATTGCTGCTTTTTCTGTGCACGTTTGTGACTTGATCAGAGGAAAGACTCATTGAAACAAAACACTAACACAGAATCTGTTTAAGCGAAAGTGAGTTTTGACCATTTGACAGAATCAACACCTTAAAAGTACTCACCCTCCCTCACTCTCTCCTTCCTCTGAGCTCCGCCCCCCGGCTGCAGCCCCGGCGATGGATGCTGCAGCTCTTTTCCTCCGTGTGGGCGTGGTCCTCTGGAGGGTGCTTGCTCGATGGGCCTCCTCGCATCCCATCAGCTCCTCCCTGACTTGGTTGGGCAGCTTCGGCAGAGCGTTCTTCAGCGACTTCATCTCGTCCTTCAGCTCGGACACGCACTGGATCAGGGCCTCGAGGCGCTCCAGCACCTCGGCTTGACCCCTGGGCAGACCTGGACCGTCCACCAGCATCATGCTAGTCCCCTGTCCGTTGGTGCGGTTCAGGTAGTGCCCCGGACATGACGCTCTTCGCCTCGATCTGAAGCCCTGGTACAACACCACGGCCAAACTGACGCCTGCCACTCCGGCTAAAGCTCCCAGGACCAGCACCTTGCTGTCTGCCTGCGCCATCCTGAAGGGCTGACAAACAGAAACAACTACATTTAAGCTACAGATTTCATAAAAATTTTGACGAAATTGCATTATGGAATTCTGAAAGATTTGGGGCTTACAGTGCCTAATCGATTTGTCTTTAGATTCATTTAGTAATTGATTAGATTAGTTTCAAATGTATTGTCATTGTACAGAGTACTGGGACAATGAAATGCAGTAAGGATATTACCAGAGGTGCAAGAGAAGCAGTACATTGTAGTGTAATGTAAAGGTATAATATAGGTATTTAAATAAGACTGACAATAGAGCTAATGTATACAGTTTGAACAGTATTAATGGGTATGAGCTGTAGCAATAATGTTGAATGTTCTACAAAAGTTGAAAAACAGAAAGTATAATATAAACACTATAGACAGTAGTATACACATGAATTCTCTATAAACCATTATAGACACTTTGCATTGATAATAGGAACATTCTAGGAGTACACTATAGAAGAAATAACCAGTATGGGTGTGAATAATCATTGAGTTTATACAAATATTGCCTTTATAAAATAGTGACAGATAAGCGCCCAAGATAAAAAAGAAAAAAAACCTGCAAATCCTCACATGTGAAAAGTGACATTACTAACATTATACGATTGCGAATATTGCAGCATTAATTAGCATTTCAAATGAACATTTGTTAAACTAATTATTAAAGTTAACTATTATGATTTTATTTGTTAACTTTTTTCTTTGCAATGCAATCAATAAGTCAACCTCTTAGTACCTAAAACCATTGGTTTCATCTTTAGAGATGTATTATGTAAAATGTTTACAATGTCAACATCTGTATCTGAAATGTATCTTAAACTGTCAAATATAGTAAAAAAGCACAATATTTACCTATGAGATTATGTCACAATTAAAGGAAATAGTTAATTAAAGTACAAGTAATCCAAAAAGGTACTTCAGTACAGTACATACAGTAAATAACCCTTCCACCACTGAACGTGATGCACGATTGACAAGAGGGTGAATACTGTCTGAAACAGGCTAACCGGTGCGTTAGGAATGTTAGCCAGTAAGCTAAAGGTGATTGGATCAACATACTCTTCACACAGCTAGCTTGTTAGCCAAAAGTCGGAGTCACAACAGCTCGACAAACCCTTGACACACTGAGAAATGTATTGTGTCTGACTAGGTCTTAAGCATACGTGTATTAAATGTATACTTTCATAATTAAGCTTTATTGTGTTTATTAGCTGTCAATGACAGAATTCGTGCTGCTAACGTAGCTTAAAGTCGATTTGCTAACACTCAAAACAAAGTTACCCGCCAAGGTTAAAAGGACAGAACGCGTTCAAATGCTCACTTTCAGCATTATCTTATCAAAACAAAACGTTTCATTAACATGTTATTCATAAAAAACTACATAATTATCAATAGTAGAGTCCTTACTGCACAGGTAAGAAGGGAGGCACTTGGTAACTCACTGGTGTAACCTTAGAAACAATCCGTGTGGACTCAGAAGACAAAAAGAAACGTTCCGGGTCATGTGCGTCAGCCTTCAAACACAAATTACTTGCGTGTTATTTTGAAGTAGGGCAGATAAAACCTCAGCATAAAAACGGCATAAAAATATATATCACAACGTTTTTTACTTCCAACGTTTAAACTTATGTCACCACTGCTGCTTGTCATGAGCTCTCTGTGGGGAGTTTGCAAGTCTGTTTTGTTTGTCATGTAATGTTCCGCCCCTTACTCTAAGACCCTGAACATGTCAAGAGAACAAATGACATTCACGTCCTTGTTGATGAAACAGGGCGGCTTTCATCATTATTATGAATTCTTCCCCATGAACTTAATGACTGCAAAGGCTTTTCTGAATCAACTCTCTGTTATGTTATGTTATGAGGCCTCCCAGGCTATAGTAACTGTATGACAATATGATCCCTATTGGAATATGAGAGACCATTTTTGATCTTGCACTTCTTCCTGACTGTGCTGACCTTTGAGGTTGTGTTCATCGCCGTTCTGCATTTCCAATACGACACAGGGCATTTGCACTCATATACTTTATACTGAAACATACTGGCAGCATATCCTTTATGTAAACAAATAAAAAATAATATCCTGTCTTATTAAAATGTTTTGTATCTTCTGCACAATTTGTTATGTATGTTTGCACCTACAAAATAATGTATCTTTAGTCTGATTTTCCTTCTAAATGCATAATATAATAAGCATGAATAAATCAAATGATTAGTGCACACATTAAGGTTTGATCATTTAGTTTATCTTTGATCATTTGCCTCAGAATATTATGCCATTTCTTTCATTAACCTTATCATTTCCACATGCAAGCGAACAATCAGTGAGCAAAGTTCAATGCAGGGGTTACAACAGTTCAGGTATTGCGTTAAATAATACAAATGACTAAAACAGGTAATAATAACTTCAATCGAAGAGACTCATCACTTGTTGCAAGATACTTTACAAGTTTAAAAATGATGTTTTTAGTCTCAATTCATGAGTTGCACCGATACCAATAAATATCGTTGTATCATAATCTCTCATGAATCATGATTCAGTAATTAGCTAAACAAAGACCTACCACTACGATTCACTCCTCTCACCAGTGTTTCCTTGCAGTATGCTTACACAGAAAGTGTACCAGGATTTTAAACAGTTACTTAGCACACAGGTTATCTTATAAACCATGGACCTGCAGCCAGTATCACAGACCCGATATCACTGGGGATTATTGAGTCAGAGTGGTAAAGTAATGATTGACATATTTTCTACCATAGCCAATGAAACCAAACCGAAGATGTGGCAACTCTGTTATTTTTCTATTTGTTGTACTTTTTTCAAATCATGCATGATGGGGTCCTAGTAAGACGGGAGTTTCTTGTATAGAGGGAGGAAATATAGAAAAACTGAAATAATTTGTAAAGCAAATAAGTATGATCATTTATAATACACCTGGAATACTGCATTTCCCAGCTTTGAAAGAACTATCCTTCCATCAATATTTGTGATTTATCCTTCTGTGATTTTATCTTTCAGGACATTTCATACTTATTGTTAAGTAATATAAATGGAATGTTTATTTCACTTGTCAGAGGCACTCTACAGTAAATGGTTGTTTATTCCAGCCTGTAGAGCGGTGACAGGCCTACCTGCTTGGACACTGGTATCTAGGAGTTCCCTTGCATAATATGATCTAAGGATTGCTACGTGCAGTTTCCTACCTGCGCTCTGAGTACAGTATTGTTCCTTAGCCCACAGCCTGCGTTTTGCCTGCACAGGGAACAAAAAGCCGTCCTGAAACCCGGTGTCATGGTGCTGTAAATAAAAATAAATAAAAAGACTTGCCCAGCAGTTCAGGGTTGGCCCTGCAGACGTAGATGAGTCGATAAGGCAGGCGCATCCAGCCGTAGCCTTGCTACCCATCGGGTCAAAGCCAGAAGATAAGGAGATATTGTCAACACTGTCGTTTTATCCACCCATACCCAACATCTGCCCAAATTTTCTAACCACGGAATTGAATTGACCCCTCAGTCAAACAACACATGGGCCAAGATTCAGGGTAAAATAAGGCATGGCTATGATGGGTCAGGGTTAGGTACATTACAAAGAAACTCTACATTGCGGAACATTAACCAAACATTTGTATATACGTTAATAATTAGAATGAGTAGTTACTTGTTTCTATCATTGTGGCATTAGCCCTTTTCAACCAGGATATTAATATTCAAAAACATTTTTACTATGAGCTATCTTCTGATATGACAACTTGCATTGATTACACCTGAAATCAGGTATACAAATTAAAAACGTGGAAAAGTGTTGACATTGTGGAGCCCAATCTTCTCGTGTGCATGAGGCATCTATTTCAAAACTAATTTCTGTAACATCTGCGTGCCGTGTTTACAGATACTTTAAGGATTCATTCAGCTGTGAAGATGCAGCAAACGTGTTGTGTAAGATAGCACGATAGCACTCAGCAATAGTGTTCATCGTGAGCAATGGGGTGGTCTAACTCGTATGTCTACACTTGCTTTGCTGATGTCTATCTCAGATTCAGGAACTCAGTGTTCTTATCCTCAGGCCTACAGGGAGACTGAGTTTGCTACTGTATTTTCCTGAGTGGCCAAGGAAACCAAATAATGTTCCCTTGACAGGAACAGATACTGAATGATCATAATGGGTTTCATTTTTGTGCATAGTAGAGGAACATTACAGTTCATTTACCTGCACTGCATTGACAATTCAGTATTGTGAATTGTGAATCAATAAAAATAAAAATGGTAAAAATCAACAACAAGAAATATCACCATTAAACATGATTTACAATACTTGCACAGACATTATCCTTTTCTAGAAACTGGTTTTGCTGAAACTCAAGGTCTTAGTCAACCAACACACTGAAACGTTATTGAATATTAATAGCTTAGATATTCAAATGTTTTGTTTATCTGTTTAAACTTGAGGGGAGGTCCGTTGTATAGGCCTGTAGATTCTAAACCTCTCTTTGACATTCCTTATATTATCTGGATTTTGTTCAATAGCCTTTTTGCATTGAGGAAAACACATTTGCATTTACTGTCTCGAGCCACCTCTGCAGTAGCTCAACTATCATGAAAGGTAGTGTGATACCATATTAACTCATTATTGATTCAAGTTATCTTTCACTGTTTGCTGTTGGTTTTTCACTTCAAAAACGTCATCGGAAGAGTCCAAACAAGAATTTTACCATGAGAATACAGCCTTTTTGCATTTAGACAATGTGCTTTGTCTCTCTTATAAAAACACTCACACATACACATCCACCTCACCTACCTAATTAAAATCCTGTTTCCCCTGTCCGACAGTTACTGCACCCTGGTCTGGCACTCCAAAAGAAAGACAACATCCTGAATATTCTGAAACAAGAATTGTCACAATCCCCACACAATCAATCATATAAACTTAACACAACTTTGGGTTTGGTAGATGATTTCTATGTTATAACAATGCTTTTTGGCAAAGCCTGTTTTCTTACCTTTCCAATGGTACCACATTTGTGAGGAGCAAGCATTTGTGGGATGAGCAGCAGAGCGGAGTATGTAGCCATGAAAAATGAGACAAATCTCCTCTGCCAATGCAGAACAGCTTTTTTTGCTGACTCTAGTTTGGTGTTGTTTGGTGGATTTGATGATTGAAGTCTGATAAATAAAGACATATTGGCAACAATTGATTTATTAACAATTGATTCATTTAACAAGCAGCCTCAGTAGTACGTCTTAAGCGTCTTTGAGTTGTGAAAAGCGCTATATAAATAAAATCCATTATTATTATTAGTGTGTGGAAGAACCAAACACAGCCACAACAGCCTCTCCTCCTCCTCATGCTGTCACCAGCCTGCTCACACTGCTGTGGGATGGCATCCCATTTGTCCCAAGTCAGCCAACGTGGTTGTGTCGGTCACTCTGCTACGGACAGCAGGGCCAAGTTGACCCAAAATGGCGTTCAATGGGATTGAGGTCAGGACTGCAGGCCATCCTCTCCACTCCTACTCTATCGGTGCAGCAATCAGCAATGCGTTCTCTGCGTCTTCTCCACTGTGACCCTACGATCCATGTGCCGTAGGCAGAATCTGGACTCATCTCTGAACATAATGTTCCTCCACATGTTGAGGTTCCAGTGCTCTGAACATAATGTTCCTCCACATGTTGAGGTTCCAGTGCTCTGAACATAATGTTCCTCCACATGTTGAGGCTCCTGGTAGCTTTACGACACCGGAGAGTGGCTGCTGTTTGGCATTGGCAGACATTTTTCATGGGCGCACCCCACATACTCAACTCTGCTGCTCATCCCACAAATGCTTGTTCTTCACTTGGAAAGGTAAGACAACAGGCTTTCCAACGGTATAAGATGTATTGCCAAAAAGCATTGTTACAACATAGAAATCATCTACCAAACACAAATTGCCTCACTTTTAGTGTTAAGTTTACGTAGAGTCTTAGCTTTATCAGAGTTAGCTGGAACCAGAGTGGGCTAAATTACATTTGTAGTTCCTGGACGGCAAACACAGCCTAAAGACATGATAACAAAAGCTTCTAGGTATGTTCAAATAAAGAAGTTGGTGAAAAGCAGAGCCACGGAAAAAAAGCGTACTCCAAAGAGTGGAAAAAATCGCGATTTTAAATGATGCGATTATGAAATTATGTGATTATGAAATCGCAAAGCCTGCGATTTTTTTTTACATTTTCTTGTTTTTACGTTTTTTCTTTCTTTCTTCTTGTGTGTTAGTCCTCTACACCAATCAGAAGTGCTGTGCTCCACATGTACCAGCCATTGTTAACCAATCAGAAGTGGCCCATGATAGAAGGTGATAGACAGATTGATCCAATCCTGCCAAGTATTTTTGAAAGTGCCTGCCCTTTCCAAATGGCTTCCAATGGAGCTTTCCTAGATGGTTTGGTGAAACAAACCATCTGAGTCAGGCAAGTAATGCTCCATCACATGTTTTACATCTACAGGGTGAATCTTAAACTGAAGCTTGACTTTAAAGCAGGGGTGGGGAACCTCCGGCCTCCGGGCCGTATACGGCCCGCGAGACCATTTGGTACGGCCCTCGAGGTAATTTATAAACACACGCAAAAGAAAAAAAATTCAAGAATCTTAGACCGCAAAATAAATTAACAAGCTTGTTTTCCTGGCAACCCAAGGTCAGGATGGTCCTTGGAACACAAACACGGAGGCCTTAACGTGTCATCCACGTGGTATATGGTCTCGTTCTGACAGGGTGTAGTTCTAACGGAGAGCACCCAGAACGCAGCTCCCAGGCCGGGACTTTCACAAATTGCAAGTACCCCATATGGAAGCTTT